AGAATCCATCATCGGAAGAATGAGTTAAACAGTCTACGTGCTCTTCCTTTACCACCACGCATGTGTGTTCCGTCACCTGCTTTTCTTATCTGCAGCTACTCTGTCTTCTCTTATTATTTTGGATGAGCATTAATTATCACAGTATGGTGCAGGGTAATGATGCCGAGGTAAGGCCACACTACATCAGCAGAGGGAGTATTCCTAGAGAAAGGCAGAATGGAATTCCTTGGGCACTAGCGGGGTGTTGTCAGGCTTTGTGGCCTGTGTAACTAGAATAAAGCATGTTAAAGTTGCATTTCTGGTGTTCTATGAGAATTCCTAGAAAGGAATGCACACTTATTTTTCTTTACGGAGCCTTTCCTTAATTGAGGATGTGGGTATGTACACTAATAATTCAAATCATTAATGCCATTGCCTTTGACAGGTACTCCTGCATTCCCCAGCTGCTGCCACTGCTTCTGCGTTTAGGCTGTCTCTGCAGCTACCTTGATGTATTCTCGTGGGCTCTCATAAAAACACGGGGCTCGTTTCGTTAGATTTATCAGATCCCCTTGATATCTTTGTGTGTGGGGGGAGGTGGCTGCAGGCAGGATGGGGCATGCCTGGTGGTGGAGGAAGTAGGAGGATGGTGATGGAAGCACTGGAGACTGGCGAGATAGCACAACACACAAGAGATGGCTGGGCTGGATTTCCTTGGAGGCAGATTGTTTATTTGCTTTAAAATTAAGTGGCTTTTTTCTAGAAGAAATTTTTATTGCCCAGTTTTCTATTTGTTGTTAAATAATTAGAGAGCAGATATACTGAGTCATAGAAAACTTAATAAGATGGTGAGTTACCTGTCATTTTAAAGAGAAAATGGAGGGCTCTACGTCTGTTAATTGTAATACTAGCCCGTTATTCGGCTCCTTGCCTCTAGCTGCTCTTCTGCCTTTTTTCCCTTCTCCCTGCAGACTTTTATTGTGATTATTTTCCAAGTAGGCCTTTCTGGCACTTTGTTGCTTCATTTGTTTTAGTGCTAATGAAACGGCTGACAGTCATTGAGAGCAGGAGGAAAAAGCACCAGGTCTGACCGTTCATGTGGTGTTTACTTGCCTCCCAGATAATTAAACATAAGTATATATTTCCATGGTAATCAGAATCATGTTGGCCTGATCTGTACAGCAATTTAAAGTTTATAAGGAAGCATTATTTACCATTTCTTATTTAATCCCCTGCACAACCTTATATGATAAGTAGAAGAGGTTGCATTATTATCCCCATTTTGCAGATGAGGAAACTGAGGCTCAGTGGTTACAATGTTCTATCCAATGCCATTCAAAGAGTGAGCACAGTCAGCACTTGATATGCCAATTCAGGACAATAAATGCTACTAGCCAGCTGGTTGCAGAGAAGAGTCAAACCCTGTTCCACTTGTCATTTGTCTCCATTGTATAAATTTGAAATTGCAACAGCTCTGAAGAGACTCATTGTTTCTAACTTGACACTTACGCATTTTTCACTAGGTCTGTAGTATTTCTACACATTTAGTGAAAAAGATAATTTACTTTAGAAAGGCATATTCATAAGGGATGTTAAATATGTGGTAAGTATATGATTAGCAGGAAAGGTCTGCGGCTATCTGTGTGTGTTTGTGTGTCTTTACATGTGTAGATGTGCGTGTGAGAGAGACTTGTCCAAAGTTCTATCACTGTTAACTAATAATATGAATGAGGGGCCATTCTAGGTCTTTTAGTGTTAATAAAATCTTACTGATGAATTTTTACATGAATTTAGTACTTTAACCATAATTGGACACACTCCACCTAATAATCTCTTGATGCATGTCATAGAGCCCTAGGTCTGCTGGTTTAAGCAAATAAGGTTTCCTTCTTCCTCCCTTACCACCATATAAGAGTGGGCCCAGAGGTAAGTGATCCGTGGTTACAGTGGTGGCTTACAAGATGACGTTCAGGGCACAGGCCCTGTCTTCCTGTTCTCCATCCCCCATGTGCTGCATCCCTCCTCTCAGTGGGAAGGTGGCCGCCATACCACAGGCGCTGCACCTTCATTGCAGACAAGGAGACATGCCCGTTGTCCATGCCCTTTACAAAAATTTTCCTGAAAGTACAGTGACTTCTGACAAATTGTAAATAGCAGCGTCTGCCAAGTGCTGCAAGTGGGTCTGTGGAGGCAAGCATTTTAGCTGGGTATGTTGCCACTCTCAGAAAACAGGGCTTCTGTTAGTGAAGAAGAAGAGATAAATGGGTTCCACAATAGAGCAGCTGGTTTTATTATTAAAGCCATATTTATATCACTAAAAAACAGTTCCAGAGATTGGATAAGACAGTAACGGCTCAATGTGGAGTTGAGCAGTTATTTGGATTGAGACTTAATATGTCTTTTATTCTCCCATGAAAGTCAAATAGTACATCAGAAATGGGAAGCACATTTTCTATTAAGAGTCACTGGCCTGTAGGGATTAATTTACAAACAGACTATTTTTAAAAGAAAACTAAGGATAAGAAGAAAAAGTTGGAAGTTTCAGTTCTGCTGGTTTTTCAACCTGGCATTAGGTAATCTAAAATTCCATTAAATAAATAATTGGCAAAATAATTAAAAGTATTATCTTTTTTAAGATTATTGAACTAAAAAGAATTTGAGGTAAGTTGATAGAAAGGGAGTAACAGGCAACTAACTACGAATGGAAGGAAGTCTTTCCGCTGTTTACTCTGTACCAATACGGTTTCTGTGGCCCTGATGTTAGTTTCCCTCTCTACCCCACAAAGCTTGCTACAATCAGTCCCCATCCCTTCCATATGCCCCCAGCTTATCTACTGAAAACCCACACTGCCTGGGTACAACGTCCATTTCTGACAAAGTTATTGGTAAAATAGGAATAGAAGGATGCTTTATGCAGTCTGTCTCAAACCACTGACCAACCTCATTGTTAATCGAGACTTCCAAGTGTCTTCCTGAAAGCCAGAGCAAGAGAGAACAGTAACCATCACCACCGTCAGTTCTAACTGAAAGTTAGAGCCAATACAATAAGAAATAGGGTGTAACAATTCCAAATGAGGAGACAAAGGCATCTTTCTTTTTTTAGATAATATATACCTCCCCAAAATACCCAAGGGAATCAACTGAGGAAAATTATGAACAATACAAAGATGCTGAATATAGCTTAGTATCACTATTACAAATACAAACATCTGATATAGGAGATTGGTATAGAATGCTATTCAACTCTTTAAAAAGATGAAGTAAGTTGATGTAAGCAATTAACACGGAATATTATTCATTGCATAAGGTCAAGTTTTAAAATGTTACAAAACAGACCAAGCACTGTGGCTCACGCCTATAATCCTAGCACTGTGGGAAGCCGAGGCAGGTGGGTTGATTGAGATCAGGAGTTCGAGACCAGCCTGAGTAAGAGCAAGACCCTGTCTCTACTAAAAATAGAAAAAAACTAGCTAGGAGCGGTGGCATATGCCTATAGTCCCAGCTACTCAGGGAGCTTGAGGCTGGAGGATCACTTGAGCCCAGGAGTCTGATTTTGCTGTGAGCTAGGCTGATGCCATGGCACTCTAGTCTGGGGCAACAGAGTGAGACTCTGTCTCAACAATATATAAATAAAAAATAAAATGTTACAGAACAATGCAAAAAAATTATTAGTAATAAATGTATGTTTTGTATGTTTTTAATTTTTTCATTGAAGTATAACAAAGCATACTGTTGGATGAGTTTTCATCAAGCGAATGCATTGATTGTATGTAACCAGCACCCAAGTCAAGCAACACCACAGTTCCAGTTAAGCCCCCTTCCAATTACTACCCATAATCTTTGGGGTAGGATTATGGATAGTTTCTTGTTTTTTATCTGTGTGGGTTTCTGTATTTTCTAAATTTTCAACTATATAATCAGAAAAAAAATGATCTTGCATATGTGCCTGTGCATGTAAAAGGGAGTTTTGTTATTTTCAGGCTGGAGTTCCTTACAACTATTAGATATATTCACTGTCCATTGAGTCAATAACTAATTTTTGAAGATGTCTTGAACTTTTGTCTCCCTCCATAACCACCTGTTCATTGTAAAGTCTTCTGTTGCTGACTTGAAAGTAGGCATCAGTTTAAAGGGTATGAAACATGACACAGGTTCTTATTGAGAATTTCAATAGCTTTATAGACCTTTGACTTAAACAGATTGGCTGAGATAGCTATTAATGGTATAGGATTTTCTTGCTATAAATAAGATAAATATATAAATATATCATTTGGTTTCATATTTGACCCCCTTTTTCTTTCTTTCTTGCCTTTCACTGTCTGCTGCTTGTCGTCCAAACCTCTTCTTCTTTACCCCTCTAGATCGTGAACCTTATAGAAGAAACTGGACACTTTCATATCACAAACACAACATTTGATTTTGATCTTTGCTCGCTGGACAAAACCACAGTTCGTAAACTACAGAGTTACCTGGAAACATCTGGAACATCCTGAGGATACAACAACTGGATGCATCAAAAACTATTGTTTTTTTTTTTTTTTTCCTGGGTGGTGATTTTTTTTTTTTGTGGTTGTTGTTGTCTATATGAAAACACTCAGAATGATGCAACCAAAAGGGAAAAAAAATAAAAATCAAACAACCTTCAGCTTTATTTTTCTTTAAAGCCAGTCATCATCTCTTGCTAAAGGAGAGGTTAAGCAAACCAGCCTCAGCGGACCACTCTTCTCTCCAAGGAAATCCCCGGGAAGAGCTAGCCTGGATAGCCTTGAAAACAAATCAAACACAACACAAGAAAGCTTAAAGAATGTGTATGGTATCATGTATCTCTCTCTGTGGTGGTTCATTCCACAGGACGAATGCATATTCAACACACTGCCTTATTACATAACTGATCTATTTATTATCACGTACAGATATTCTAAAGTCGTTGAGGGAATGACACCACCAGACATTCTAAGTACTTGGTCCCGTGGATGCTCTTTTCAATGCAGCGCCCTTGCCATCCCAAGCCCAGTGACCTTACTCGTATACCGTGCCACTTTCCACCAACTTTTTCCAAGTCCTTTAACTCGTTGCAGTCTGTATTTTCCACCTTTTTTTTTTTTTTCCAGTTGCAGGACACAAATTATCAACTGGGGGGGACCAAATAGCCACCTTGATTTTCTTCTTTGTGGTCTTTTTCCACAAAAAGTTGGGGCCTCGTCCTTGGCTGTATCCATGTAATGATCTCGGACCATGGTAGAAAATGCACCAAATAGGATCATATGAATTGCTGTCTAGCCTTAGTCAATAAACCTGTAGGACTTTTAAACAAAAGTGTACCTGTAAACGTCCTGAATCTGGCATTGTTGAGCTGTCATCAACATTCTCGTGTCTGTTTTACTGTTATAATATTAGGTAAATACGGAAGTAAAGGCATTCCACAGGATCATCATTTAAAAAAAAAAAAAAAAAGGAATTCTGGTCCTGTTTTCTAGAAAAATGTTGTAGAAATTCTTAATTTGGATCTATTTATTAGTAAGTTTCAGCTTTCTTCAGCTGCCAGTGTGTTATTCATCTTTACCATAAAAACCTGGAATAAGAGATTTTTGTTTGTTCACAGATGATTCTCTTAGACTCTTTTATATTTGAAAAATTAAAATATTTCTTTTGGGGGAAATTCTTTTTTTTTCTGCCATAACAGATTATGTATTAACTTGTAGATTCAGTGGTTCGATACCTGTTTAGTCATTTGCTAATATTTCCAGAAGGATTTCTTGTATTGGTGAAAGATGTTGCGGGGGGTGGAATTTTTGTTTTCATTGTACCCTTGTTTTAAAAATAGAAATCTGTCCTGTGGCATGCAAAAGAAAGCAAATTATTTTTAAAAGAAAAAAAAAAAAACCAAAGTACTATTGGTGTCATTATTCTAGCTTCTCCAAAAACGGAGAAATGAAAAGTAAGAGCAGCTCATCTTCCAAGTTTTTACTGGGAATTCATCTGAAAAAGAAAAGAAATGAAGAAATACTTCTGGATCCAAAGGTTCGTCACTGGATCAGCCTTAAGAAAGTCTCTATGTGTGCTAATAGACCAGTATCTCCCTTGTTTGTTCCCATGCCAGATGTTGTCTTTTCATACAGAGATTAACTGGTGTCTGTACAGAAAATGGTCTTTCCAGACTCATTCTTTTGGGCACTAATATAAATGCAGATTGATAATGGAGTTACTTCTGCATTTTAAAAAGGGGATTTTTTTACACTGTTTCTTTTTATCCAAAGAAACTATTTTTTTCCTTTAAAAAAATTATAATACAGCCATGCTCCTTGTAAATTCCTTCTCTGAAGCATCCTCCCAGAGGACAAGTGTACTTTCTCAATAATGTTTTGATTCTTAATGATGATTGGCATGAACCGTACTTGAAGCATTTGTTGTGTAGTCCACTTCGCAATGTGCAATGACAGACTTTCTGAGTCATTTTAGACCTTAGGTGACTGATGAATTGTGTCGTTTTAGTTATGTTTTGTTTTTATCCTTACAGGTGGAAGGGGAGGGCAATGTTTATATGGAAATGTTGCAAAAGTCAAAAATCTTTCAAAATTTCTAACTGCTAATCCACATCTTCGATTGAACTAGAAATTTATCTGGCGTAACTAATAGATCTGTATAGTTTAACTAGAAATGAGTACGTGTAGTTTTGAACATTTTAATTTTGGTAGCTATCTTGTGTAGCAGAAACTATGATTTGGCAATGTAAAGATTTTTTGGTTAAGTTACCAACCAAGAAACAAAGTTAGATAAGAAATGGCCTAACAAGGATAATAAAGCTGTTAATAGTGCTAAACTTTAGACCTGGAAATCAGGTAATAGAGCAGATGTCTTCAGAATATCATAAAATGTGAGTCTGTAAATTGATAAAATGCAGGAAAACTTCCCAATTTACTACTACTAATTGTGACAGCAATACGAATTTTTCACAAAGTTTTGATAGAGGAGTCACATGAATTTTTTTGAAGTGGTACTCCTGGCTCTCATCATCTAATTTTTAAATACAGAAATATAAATCCCTGTGAATTAATTTCAGAGTTATAATACTTAAAGTAACCCCACTCAGTTCTTCCTCATTTGTATGCACTCAACTTTGAGACCTGGTAAGAATTTCTTTAACACGGGGTTTTTTTAAGCACAAAGGGAAAATGGCAGTGTTTCATTTCTCCAGTGTGTACATATAACTAGATGTTTCAAATAAAATTAATTGGGTGAATGTGAATATGGTTTGAACCAGCCAGAGTATGGTAAACTGTCTTTAAATTTTTTCCCAGTGATTTGGGAGGGGGATGTATGTACAGAACTCCCACCTCTCCTTTAAATTAGCTTTTGCCTCTGGTTTTCCAGCAGGATGTGTGTGCGTGGGGAGGTCCATCTCTCTTAGGATATAATAGTCACATTAGCAACAAAAGTATTCTGCAGTTATTTCATGTCTTCACCACAATCCGCCACTCTCTCAAAATGTGGACAAATACGTATGTCTATCTATGCTATCATGTTGTGTCAACATAAGGGAAGAATAGTAAAACTTAAGGAGACAGAAGCTTTAGGGGAGGAAAAAAGTCTTAATGAGTGTCCTAAACATTTAAAATGGCTAAACAGATCTCTCTAATCTGAATAATTAACCTTTTTGCAGAAAGAGCCAATGAAATTGGTTTTCTTCCACCCAAAACAGTTTTTGCTGATACCTTTCATAGACCCATCTAATCTTAAAAAGAAAAAAAAAAAAAATTAGGCCTAACATCCTATTTGCCATTTCAAGCCCCATAAATGTATTTATTGTACTTAAGAGAGACGTTGCGGTTCAATGTTTTAACTCTACCTACTTAATGGAGTTGGGTGTTCAGTGTTGGAAATGGTCAGTGTCTGTATTTGGTGGCTTGTGATCGTCCTTCTCACCGTGGAAGTGATCAGCTCTGGAGTAATTTGCTGTATGCTTTCCATCTTTGGCGTTTTGTGTACTAATGCTGTGTACTGCTCCTATATTTATATATACATATAATTATCAGAGTAATCTTGCTGTGGACTGTTGCTCTAAAACTAGGACTATGATGTAGAGACTGCTGCAGCCGCAGTGAACAATAAGGAGTCGATGCCCGTGGTTTAGTTTAGTCTTGGGCTGGAAGTCTACATCTTTTGACCTCTTTTATTTTATAGGATGCTTTTTATTATGTAGGCACTGCCATTCCTGAATATTCCTTGTAAAGATGCATTGAAGAAGTCAATTTCAAAGGAAGACAAAGCCACTGCTGTCTGTAAACTATAAATATGTATTTTGGCACTTGTACTCCAGTATTCTGAAAAGAGAATTACAATGGAAATGCTGACAGATCCTTAATGGTGGCCTGAGCTACCATGCAGTGCAAAAATAAATTAAGTAAAAATGTATTCTTGAGATTAACAGTGCAAGGCTATTACGTTTTATAAATCTGTCAGTATCTTTTTAATGGAGTGTGTATGTGTAGCTATGTTGAAAGATACACTGTGTATATGTGTGTACATGCTTTCATGTGAACTGCAAGGCACACATAAGATGTATTTCCCATCTCTAAAACCCATGTTGGAACGTAAGTACAGATGGATAGAAGTAGGTGTTTTACTTAAGTTTGTATCTGATTGATTGCAGTACTATTTTCTTTAAAATGTACAGTCTTACTCTTTTGCTAAGAGTCGTTTGACCACACTTTGGCTTTACTTTGTATACAGGAAGAATGAGCCCTAGCCCTTTTTCAAGAAGTGATGCTGTTCCTACAGAAGAATTAATGGAGAGATCTGAGGCAGCCAGAGAAAGAACATGTGTGCAAACCTGCTGAGGGCAGAGAGTCCCTGCCTCATTCATCGTTAGGTCCCCAGTGTCTGGCACCATTTTCTGTGTCCTAAAGCTGGTATATGTATTATGATCTCTGCAGAGATTGGAGCAAGAAGTGGTGGGGGCACATTCTTGGAATAAACTGGGCTACTTATGCATGGTATTTTTTTTTTCTTTTTCCTCAATTTCCTTGGAAAGTTTTGTTTGTAAACTAAGCAATGTGCTGTAGCTCCGAAGAGTCCATCTTACAAAGGCCCCGCCTTTATTTCAGCAGCGGGAAGTGCTGCGGCCTTCATTAGGAAGGAGAACAATGACCACAACAAAGAATGAGATCCATTCAGCTTGGCGTATAACCAATGAGGGTGTGGTACTGTCTACTTAATAGTAAAGAGCCTGACATCAAATGCGAGAAACAGACCCTATCTTCATGCAGGCTGACAAACCATTTAGGAGATTATGATGTGGACTGCCTTGTCTCTTATCAGGTAAAGAATGGTGTTAGGTGGGGAGACATCAGTCCCAGATGGCCTGGGGTGGCAGTAAAACTTCCTAATGACTACAGTCGAATGGGGCTAAACTCTTCCCTGTTTCAGAGCAGATACTCATTTGTTTATTTGAGATTATGGCTGATGGATGGCTTTGCATCTTCCCTGGTGTGAAGAGTCAAGATCAGCCTCGTGGGC